CGATTCCGGATCTGGCTCGCTCGGCCTGCTCCCCGCGAAGAGGATCATCCAATTTAACGTCCGATAAAAGATTTCAAAACCTCAGCTGCACGCTTTAAAACTAATGATTAGAGCCGTGAAATCCACGGCGCATACTCCCGCGCGGATGAGGGGTTTCCGTTCAGAATTTGATCCCATTCACAGTCTTCGGAACTTTCCGGACGCTCCTCCTGCTGAGCATTTAGCTCTGCCAGATTACATCTGAACTAGTACCCATTACCTGTATAGAAAGAGTACGGACTCGTCAAAAAGCGAATTTTATTTCAAGTTCCGAACCTCTTTGGGAAGTTCTGTCCTGGTTTGTCTCATCAATCACCAACACCAGTGGATACCGTTGTTACCGGATTCGACATCAACGTTGCGATTCGTCAGTCACCGAATCGGAAGATCCGAACTCAAATAAAACGGCAGCTCGGAGATTCGGACACAAAAGTAGTACCGAATCTCTAAATGAAATTCGCTTGAAATATATATATATATAGCTCTTCTGGGCCCAAAAGAGCTGCCGACCGTCTTACACAAAAAATGCCACTGCCAAACTTCAGATTCCAATATCAAACCAAGATGACCAAGAATGTTCCTAAATGAGCGTTCTCCCGCAAAAATGAGTAAGTTTATGCCAAAGGTAAGTCAAGTGCGTACTTCAGAAATGACGGTTCATAAAAATTGTAATAATAAATCACTCGTGATAATTTGAATTCATAGCTTGGCTGCCCTTTTGGTCCCTGAAAGCACCATGACCTAACCTCAAAATTGCCAACATGTTCGCACTCTCCCTATGTAGGTAATCTAATCTGAACTGCATGATGGACCTACCACTCATCTTCATCCTAAAAGCGCAATGCCAAATACTTGCCTCTAGTTTTGACTATTACTTAAAAAAATTTTAAATTCATTCATCATCTTTATATCAAGCTTCTCCCCTCATTCATCGAAGCACAATTAATAATGAAAGTGCCAGTTTTTATCATTTTTTATTAAAAAATTTGACTGTATGACGCAATTTATTCGAAAACGAATATTTTTTTGTTTATAGATAGCAAGTGTCTTAGAAAGATTTCCATAGGGAACAAGGATAATCTCCTCCTCGAATAGGTTGCCAGGGCTGGATTTAGGGGGTGGCAAATTTTGCAATTTTTTTAAATGTAGTTATAAAGAAAAATCGGAATCAGAAAAAACATTACAAACGAGATGAGGTGACAAAATCTCTCATTTCCAGAGAGTATATTTCTAATTTTGTCGTCTTTCTGTGATACAATAGACAGCACCTTTAATTCGTCAAGTTAAGACTAATAGAGAAACCGAACACGGAATTTGGCCCGGAATGGCGCGGCGCAGAGAGCAATGATAACGAGAACTTGAAATGAAACGGAGAAACCCTCGCCGCGACGCGGCGGTCGGCATATAACACATATTAGCGCCTACAAGACTGCATGAATACTTCACGCATTGCGTCAAAGACAGTGCGGTCGCTGCGGTCAGCAGCGGGCAGCGTGAAACGCATAGCGCCTCCTACAATACTGCATGAATGGACCACTAGACAAGGTACGAATTTAAGCAATCTGATACATGTTTCTTAACCAGAATTTTACGTAAAACACGATTTTTACAACGCAAATTACTGAAACCAACTTTTAACGAAGATATTAACGTTTTTATTACACATTGGTTACGAGAAATTTGAACTGCCCACTCACAAGAAACTCAAAGCTCTACGTGAGTCAAATCGCGCACTACAACGGCTTCAGCAAGCTTCTCAATCGAGCAATGTTCATTTCCCACCATGTGTTGTTCAACCTATAAGCAATTTGCTATAGCTGAGCCAAAGCGTCAGGATCGAGGTTGCCAGGTTTAATATCGCAGAGACTGTCATAATAACGTTTAGCGCTCGATGTGAATCACGTAGATCATTGAGTTTTCATGAGCGAATAGTTTGAATTCACACATTAAGAATCATTAAATATCTTCGTAAGGTATAAATTTCGGTAATTTTCGTTGAGTGCATCGTGTTCTACGTAAAATTTTAGTTAAGTGACGTGTATCAGAATGCTGAAATTCGTACCTTGTCTAGTGGTCCATACTTCACGCATTGAGTCAAACACAGTGCGTGCAGCAGCGGTCGGCGTGAAACGCATGACGCATAGGATCGTAGGAATACTTCACGCATTGCGCCAAACATAGAGCGGTCAACGCAGCGCGGCGGCGGATAAGTTACAATGATTAAACCACATTTACGTTTGTTCTTTCATACTTTTTTCTTCAATACTTATAAATGGAACCCTTGTCCACACAGAGATAGGTGTACGGAACTTTACTTTCGCGCAAAGTTCCGTGAACTTTTTCTAGTAGTGTTAACAGGGCTCTCGCAAAAAATGTGTCCATTACGAGTAAATGCATCTTATGAACCCCTCGTCCCCTCCCCTCCGGCACGTTCACTTGATGGTTTTTATTGATGTTTCAAAACGAATGAGAAAGGGGCGGCAAAATATAGGTGGCCCACGGGCGGCAAGTAAGTAAATCCGTCCCTGCGTAGGTTGCTGAATTTTTTGTCATCGATCACGCATGAGAAGCAACACAGACTCGGAATTTTACCTTTTATTTATTATATTCTCACTTTTAGGACATCTGAGGAGTAATTGAACGTATTTCTGCCAAATGGAACAGTGTGTAAAAAGACATGAGCCCTGAGACCTATAAGAACATATGCATAACAGGGCTCACGTCATAATGCACACAGTTCTGTGCGGCAGAAATACATCCAATTAAAAATCGACAATTATTTCCCCTGGTATAAATTTCCCCACAATTAGAGAGTAGGTACGGTTTGTTTCATAAAAATTTGAAAACTCCACGCTTGATGTTTTTTTTCATATTTATTTATTTATTTATTTATTTTACTTACAGAAGTACGGAGTCAATGATTTTATCCATTGAATTTTGAAAATCCATATCCAAATCCATAAAAATTTGAAAACTCAACGCTTGATGATTTTTTTTTTTTTTTTTTTTTTTTTTTGTAATTTTACTTCCAGAGGTAAGAAGTCAATGATTTTATCCATTGAACTTTGAAAATCCATATCGAAATCTATAAAAATTGAAAGCTCAACGCTTGATGATTTTTTTTTGTGTGCTTTTTTTGGTATTTTACCTCCAGAAGTACGGAGTCAATGAGTTTAGCCATCGATTTCTTATTGGCAATGAGCTCCTTGAGTGGAAAAATAAGGTATGTGAAAAATCAAAAACCTGATGAATAGGATTGGACGAACACTGGCCGTCGCTAAGCAATTTTATTTGCGGCGCATTCAAGTCTCCGCCGCAGTAAACAAATGGAGCGAATGATGCTATCAATTAAATATCAATTTACAATGTTCACAAAGAGGTAAGCCCGAGGACAGATTTTGTGCTTTTCTTTTTCTTTTCGCTCTTTTCCCACAGGAGAGGTGAGGCCGTTGATATCTCATTCATGATCTGGTAGTAAGCGCCCCCAGGGTCCCCCTGCACCCCCCGGACACCCGTAATTACCCCCTCATTACTGGCGCTGGTACAGTGGCGCAGCTCAGCTACCTGTGTTACCCGCCTTATCGCCGTGGCTCACACAATACACAACACCCAATACATGAGTATGCATGTATATCTGCGCAATTAGCTGCAGCCAACTCACGAGTAAGCTACCATTATTTGGTGGAAAAAGAAAAAACACACGCCCACGATTACAAGATCCAAAGCTCTTTTATCTCAGATCAAATTCGAAGAACCCTCTTCAGCTACTTTATGTCCTCCTTTACAGTTTACGGCCAGTCTTTTTCACCCCCTCCCCCCTCCCTCTCGCCGAGCACCGAGCTCCACCGTTTATACTGTCGTCCTTCCATACCCTCACCCTTTTCCTAGAACACTGATCCTCCGTATTTTTTGCCTGTGTCTTTTTATCTGGTCTCAAAGAAATACAAGTTAATGAATTAGGTACATAAATTAACGTTTTAATTATGTTAAAAATCCTAGTGCCCCGCGTTTCTGCTGAAACTCGCTGAAGACAAAAAAAGGTATCCTCGTTTGTTTCACACGAAAAATAGGAATCAATTTAGACGTTTATGATATTGTCTAGTAATAGCTGACGTTTAACGGGTATGAATGTAGTAGGATGACACTTTATTTATGTAGGGAATCATAAATAAAAAAATAAAAAAAACAAGTAATTAAACTGCGTTATCCATATACGAGTACGAGTAGCTCAAAAACGCTTGCATAAAAAACTGACATGTCTAGTATTTACACCGAGTTTTGATTGCAGTGTTTGAAAGTTTCAATACCTGAATTCAAGAAAAGTTAATTTAGACTTTCCTACGGAACAGAGATTGAACATTTTACACTCTTGGACTGAAAACTTCGGCGAATTATTTAACCAAAATGTATCGAATTTATGCCATCACAGTGCAATCATGCAAATTATGATACTTCCAGTTCATAGAAGCACTTAAAGATATTTGATAATCAGGTCTTAAATAACACGTTTAGGGAGGAATGATTTTAGTACAACAAAAAATATATAAACTAGAATAATTGTGCATGCAGTGCCTTGTACATGAATGAATCTATTTAGGAAATGCGACCTCGCAGAAATAGATATTTTAGTTTCTGGTGCGACCTTTATTTCCGGAATGTGGTATTTATCAAAGTGGGTAAATAATTATGCATGCTCTTGGTATTATGTATAAAGATATTAATTCTTCAATGTGCCATGGTAGTTATGTTAAAATCTAGAAAATACTTAAAATGTCTTGGGTTTTTACCTCAAAGTATCAGACTATTAAGTTTCTTCTGCCTGGATTGCGATTGTGTATGTACTTTTTCGAGGAAATGACGCGTAAAGTTTTCATCGTGCAAAGGTATCAAAATTTCAGATTAGAACTGAATCTCACAATGCGGCGCATGCAAAAATTGTTGCATTTTAAAATGATCCTTACCTTGTTGGAAGTAATTGGCCTTTCGGACATAGACACAGACTAGAGCCATGAGTTGAAGTTGTGAGAGCCTTTGTCTGGTCGACGCAGGAAGAGGAAGCAAATCCCGTAAATTCCCTATTTCCGCATTTATCAGATCTCGCCGCAGCTTGCTCGCACCTTTGGTCGATTTTGTGGCATCGAACCTGTCAAGAGAGAAAAAAATAGCTCAGTGAAATCCGAAACTCATACGCGCTAAATGCTTAACGAAGAGAATTTCACTCTAGAAAAACCCAAGTGACCAAGACCTTTTCGCCCTGGAAGTTGTGATGGATAAGTAAGAAAGCTCCAGTGTTTGAGTCTTTTTAAAATAAACATGTCAATTCACATCTTTAAGGTCGATTTAGGTCATAACATCAAACCTAAAATACATGTCATACAATACTTAGAGGGGAGTTGAGTTTATTTGGGAGCAAGAAATCCAGCTTTTTGACGGCTTATTGATCGTAGTATTTTTAGTCGATCGGCGAACAGCATAAAAAATTAAAGTAGTGAAAATGGAGGGAAAAGCCATCAGAAAACTTTTCCATACTTCAAAAGTACTGAAGTAACGGAGAGTCAAGACCACCTGTACATAATTGAAGCGCTGAATACAGAGGTGGAATTTCTTGGTTGCGTTGTCTCAGAATCTCCACTAACGTTTCATCCAGTATAATTACAGCAAATGTATTAAATCCATTGAAACTATTTGTGATTTTTTTTTTCAGATTTTACAATGCCGAAACCGAAAAATTTCAGAAAAGTCACCCAATAGTTTCCTCTCTAAAATATAAATTAGCAGTGGAGGTTTCAAAATATCGTGCCGAAGAAATGCCATCCCTGCACCCAACGACTGAATTATGAAGAAATCTTGCCAGCATTTGAAGGTAGTGCACGGAACAAAAAAATTCTTGCCGGGAAAGTTCCACGCGGCGAAGCAATTCGTGTGAGGAAACACGTTAGCGGGAACCAACTTAAAAATGCACATTACGAAACAATTTTCACCCATAAGTGTTAAGATGCATCAAACAGTTCAGTCACTTGAAAAAAAATTACATAACCCGAGCGCTGTTCGCAGTGAAATCATTGCCTCACCGAGCGTTCAACACCGATTTGAGAAATTAATTTAAGGAAGTGAAACACCTCCTCGGTAAGTAACGCAAACTCTACTCTGACATTTTAAGTTTAATCACAAATGTACTGCATGTCCGCCGTTGAGTTCATCACGGACCGAAGCCGATTTATTGATCTGCCGCCGTTTTAATGGCTGTCAGCGAGTGGGTCGAATTTTCGGTGAACGGTTCACTGTTATTGATTGATGGCATTTCTCTCCTAAATGGAGCTCCGACTCACGATTCCCATTACACCGCTCTCTGTTTTTGCAATAACGCTAATCTGACCGCTGGTTCAAGAGGTGAAATGTTAGAAATTCCTTCCACGCGAAACCGGATCCATATGACGATTTATTCAAGATTTTTTCTCGAGAGAAGCTTTTTCGACAAAACATATACCTGCATCTGGAGGAGAAAACTGCACAATGTTACTTTTGCGGTAACGAAGAGTACGATCCAAAAAAACAACGCCACATCAACAAAATAATTCTTAACGCAAACGCTACATTGTAACCATTGCTATCCTTTTTTTTTCTCCGTGCATGGTTGATATTATGGAATTATTCTTATCCAGGGACAAAATATGTTAATCCTGTACATAGTCAGAATGAGATCTTTTAAAAGAAAAAACTCGTTGGAATATTTGAGTGCCTCGCTTCAAATATGCTTGCTTCTCTGAATTTTCTTAGGAACATATTGTTATCAAAATGATTAATCATGAGCCTAATTGTTGTTGAACATCGATGACCTTAAAATTAAAAGTGTTTTTTTTTCTCCTCTAACGCATATGAACACAACAACAACAAGGAGTGATTTACTTCTAACGATAGAGACTTAAGACCCATCATATCTACGCCAAAATAGTCCAAAGACCTTACAGCAAACTCTTCGGTTCTTAGACGAAGGATTGTAACCACATTCCAATATTCCAAAATTTCTACCAGAAGATTGTAATTTTACGAGTCTTTCGGACGTTGCTAACTGAAAATTTCATTAATTATTCCGCTATAGTTACAAACGACAATCAGCAAATTCATAACAGCAATTATTTCAAGGCTTATATCATGGAAAAAATTGTTAGGGTTAATCGCCTAAAAATGTGATACTACCCCAGTTTGTTGGATGATATGGCAATTAATTGTGGTAGGAACGCAACTCAAGTTGGGGAGGTATCGCAACATATGGGTTAGGAACCTAATTTATTGGGGTACTACCACAATTAATTGGGATACTACACAATTAATTGGAGCACTCCCACAATTAATTGGAAATGCCTGTATCATCCAACAATCCTACTTTTTTCCGTGATTCTTTTAAAAAATGGAACATTGGGAACACTGTAATTGTGTTACGTTCTTTCGTTTGAAAATGGCGAACTATCTCAGAAATTTTTCCGCGTTACTCCGGGGTACATTTAAAATTGTCTTTGGCACGAATACCCATTTACACCGGTGAGTATCAGGTTCCATTTCTTATGAAGAAAGATTGTAAATATCGATAATATCTGTTAAATAAATTCCATCGAGACTCATCGGTCATCCTTTGGTGAAAATATCAGTAATGTCGCAGAATCAGTGGCGTGGCATGAGTGATCGATCATCGACATTTCCCAGTTTGAATCTATGGTAGAGAATCGATTATTATGATTTTTGTTGCAAACAATCTGTCTATCAATACGTTTACATAGGTTTAAATGGCAGATCAATCGATAAGTCGCAAAGCACGTCACGCGCTACTGGTCATGAATATGTATAAAGAATATATACGTATTGTCCCTGGTCATATCATGCACAAGAGGGTGAAGTGATGAGCTGATAGTGGTTTCAACGTGGCAACACCACGCCTCATGAAAAGCGCATAAAACACCTTTCGAGCCCTCGGGAGCTCCCGTGGGCATTGGGTCTCCCGCCACGCACGATTTGCATAGACCCATTTGAGCACTGCCTTTGATTTATTGCTCATGACATCTTTAGCAATTGTGAGAAGCGCCGTATGAAATTTATAGATCAATTTCAAACGGATAACAGGAGCGTCATGGAAAAGGCTCACAGAGGTTGAGGGTCAATCGTCTCTATTATTCTCATTAACCATGCATCCCATTAATTTTTCCGTATGAAATTTAAGTGCTGTGGTGCCTGTTTGACACGTGTACCAAGTGCAGCGAAATTTACCTGATCTTTTCAACTATTTCTTCGTATCACACGATTATAGATGTTGTACTCTCTGCTCTCATTTGACAAACATGTACGCTTTAAAATGGAAACTGCAGAAACGTATTAGACATCAATTGAAACGCCAAATTTTCTAAATGTCATTCCAGAACATCTTTTTCACAAAAAATCGGCTAAATTCAAAATAACTATATGGTTTCCATTTCCTATCTTATTTTCCATGGTCGTCGGGTGTCTGATCAACTTTAAAGCAAGCGTGTGAGGATCAGGCGTTTATACTTTATACGCACCTCTACTATCCATTGCGGGTAATAATTTTCTCTTCCGTTTTTGAAATTTGCGGAAATTGACTGATTTCGTGGCTACGTCATTCGATATAATATCGAACCCTTGTTTCAAATGTAAACGAACACAGAGACTTGTTTCTGATTCGTGCCCTTTGCACCATGCTGGTAAAATGCGTCCAAGTGTTTCTTACAATCGAAAGTTCTTGTGTTATATGGGTCTTACCTTGATTAATGACCGGTCAGTGACTACATTTTAATAAATTAACAAAATTAACTCATTAAGAATTCGTACATGAGGTCAATGTATGTTAGTTTGTTTTGGTTTGAACCAAAAGTTCGATTTTATATCGAATGACGTATTTACAAAATCAGTCTATTGAATGAGAGTAGAGTCCCTTTATACTGAGAGTCAAGACAATGTGAATCCATTTCTGATTGGTTCCCGTATTTTAGGCCTCCACAGTGTCACAAATTGGAATAAAGATTACATTTTCAGCGATTGCGAAGATTATAATGTAGAAAGGACCGGGGAATATCGGGTTCGACAAGGAAAAAACGGAATGAGAGAAGGAACGGAGAAAGGAATTTGAGAATGAACCGATCAAAGATTACGAAAAACTGTCAATTTCTGTAATCTTCATTCCCGTTTGTGACTCCACGAGGGGTGTTGTCTTGACTCTCAGTACAAAGGGACTCTAAATGAGAGGTTATGATAGGGGATGAGAGTGAGAAAAATTGCGCTAGGAGAAAGACACAACCGTGACAATGAGTCGAGACCGCGAAACGGACAGAGCGTGGCGCGTCGACCGCCATGATGGCGATGTCATTGGCGACGAGCGGGCGCGCATGCGCGGGGCGGAAGGTTATCTTGGGCATCTGGACGCGCGATCCGATCCGCCGGCGTCGGAAGCCCGAGTTTTAGGATATAGGAGGAGCCGACGGCCTAGTGGGAGCGCTCGTGGTAGGAGGAATTAAAGAGAGGGAAAAAATTAATAGCGCTGCTCTTATTTATTAGCGCTATTCGTCCAATCCGAGGATGACAGGAAGTGGCGTAGAAAATTGCCCGGATAAAAAAAAATACATTCACTCCTGTCTTCGGCGGATCTGTCTTCTGCTCCTCAAGCTCGCTCCCCCTCCACCGCGCTCCNTCCCCCCCCCACCCCTCCCCGGCTCCGCTTCATGGCTCAGCGCTCTACGCAACCGCTAGACCGCAACAGTTTCACGCTATTCGCCATCGCTGTGATTTCAAAGCCGCATTCTGATTACTTTACGGCTCTGCTCGGTCGTCGTTAGACGTCCGCGCGTCTATTTTAACGCCTCCGCGTAAAACGACGCATGCGTCGTGTATTTTGGGTGGCGCATAGGTTATTTTGTCCCGGGTGCTTTATTTCGAGGCGCTTCATCGAGCCGGCCGTTCGGGGGAAGAGTGCAATACGAGTCTCCGGGCCTCGCCACTCGCGGTGGAAATGAGCCGAATCCGAGGACATCCAGCACCGCTCGCAAATGGCCCTTATTGACACTAATGGCCTTTAATCGCAAATGGCCTTTGATTCCTTCCTATTGATATTACTCGCGGCATAATCGCTGCTCAAAAGAA